GTGCCCCCTTTACCATTTGGCCAATTCTACTTTTAAAGGAGTTGTTTTATTCACTGGATTTTTTCCTCATTTGGCCAATTCTATTTTTTTTCAGGCAGTTGGGGTTAAGTGACTTGCCCAGGGTCACACAGCTAGTAAGTGTCAAGTGTTTGGTCTGAGGCCGAATTTGAACTCAGGTACTCCTGACTTCAGGGCCAGTGCTCTATCCACTGTGCCACCTAGCTGCCCCTAAATAGGAAATTATTTTTTTACTTTTTTTTTTTAATTTTTAGGCAATTGGGGTTAAGTGACTTGCCCAGGGTCACACAGCTAGTTAAGTGTCATGTTTGGTCTGAGGCTGGATTTGAACTCAGGTCCTCCTGACTTCAGGGCCAGTTCTCTTTCCACTGCACCACCTAGCTGCCCAGCCAATTCTATTTTTTAAGGAGTTGTTTTGTTCAGTCAATTTTTGTGCTTCCTCTTCCAAGTTGTTAGCTCTTTTTCATAATTCTCCTGCAAATTCTCATTTCTTTTCCCAATTTTTCTTCCACCTCTCTTACTTGATTTTTAAAATCCTTATTGAGTTCTTCCAAGAGGACTTTTTGGGCTTGAGTCTAATTCATATTCCCCTTTGAGGCTTCACATGTAGGCATTTTGACATTGTTGCCCTCCTCTAAGTTTGTATTTTGATCTTCCCTGTCACCATAGTAGCTTTCTATGGTCAGGGTTCTTCTTTTTTGTTTGTTTGTTTTGTTTTGTTTTGTTTTTTGTTTTTGCTTATTTTTTAAAGGTTGAACTCTGCTCCTGGGGTACAAGGGTCACTGGCCCAAGCTTCTTGTGGTGAAGGCCAGGGTCCTGGTCACTAGCTTCCTGCCCCAGGGCCTCAGGTGCTGGTGGCTTGCCCACTGCACCAAGGGAGCCACACCTAGTTGTGCCTTTTTTGCCAGGGTTCTGGTGTTGACATTTGGCCTTCTGCACTGGGACTTGAGGCCTGCTATGTCACTAGCCTGCTAAGCCAGGAGCAGGGGGCCTTGGTTACTGATCTGCACTGTGACTAAGAAACTTCTGGCTTTCCCAGATGTTGTCTGCCCTGTGCTGTAATCTTGTTTTACCCAAGTGAGACAAACCTTTTCTGAAGTCTTTCTAAGTTATTTTAGGCTTGAAAATTGTTTCCCTCTGTCCTTTTGTGAGTTCTGTCACTCCAGAATCCATTTAGTCTTGGTTTAATGTTATTTCCAAGGAAAACTGGTGAGAGCTCAGGCAACTTTCTGACTTCTCTCTACCATCTTGCCTCCAAAGTTCATGTAAGATGGATTGGAACGGAGATGGATTTAAGGCAAGGAGGTCGATGAGGAGGCTAATGCAATAATCTAGGTTAGAGGTGAAGGTGATTAGGGCCTGTGGCTGTGTGAGTGAGAGAAGGGAACAGATGTTATAGGTGTTGGAGAGGTAGAAATGAGATTTGGGAACCGATTGGATATGAGGGAGGGGAAAAAAAGTATTGAGAATGACTGTCACATGAAATTGCAAGCCTCATTTGGAAGGATAAGGCTGTTCTCAGCAGAATAGGGAAGTTTGAAAGACAGACTGGCTTTGAGGTTAAGATAATAAGTTGTGCTTTAGACATGTTGAGTATGAGTAGCATGCATCCAGCATAAAAGGTCCGAAAGGCAGTTGGAGATTAAAGCTTGGGAAAGAGAAACTAGAGCTAGTTGTACTGATCTAGGAGTCATCAGCATAGAAGTGATGATTAAACCCAAGGCACTGATGAAGTACACTAATACAATAAATAATAATAATAATAATAATAATAATAATAATAATAATAATAACTGACATTTATATAACACTTTAAGATTTGCAAAGCACTTTACATATGTGATCTCACTTAAGCCTACTAACAACCCTAGGCAGTAGGTGCTACAATTATCTGCATTTCTCCAAATGGAAACAGGGTTGACTGACCTGCCCAGGGTCACACAGCTAGGAAGTGTCTGAGATAGGATTTGAACTCAGGTCTTTCTGAAATCCCAAGTCCATAATGCTATACACTGCATCACCTAGCCAGCAGGAGAGAGAATGTAGAGCGAGAAGAGGGCCCAACACAGAGCCTTAGAGGTAAGGGGTGTGACATGGCTGATAAGTCAAGGAAAGAAAGTGAGGTGGAAGAGTAAGACAGTCAGTAAGAAAAACAAGGCAGTTAGAGGGCCAGTGGATAAAGTGCTGAACTTGGAGTTATGAAGCCCTGAATTCAAATTCTGCTTCTGATACTTGCTTACGGTGTGATCCTGGGGACATCACAATCTCTTTCAGCATCAATTTATTCATCTGCAAAATGAGGATGATAATAGTACCTACTTTTCCCCGCTCATTGAGACTATCAAATGGAATAACATAAGTAGAGCCCTTTGCAAACTTTGAAGTATTGCCTGAATGCTATTATTATTGAGAGAACAATGTCACAAAAACCCAGGGGGGAGAGAGCATCTAGGAAGAGAGGGTGGTCAACAATTTCAAAGGTTGCTGTTAAGAAAGAAGCAGATTTTAAAAAGAAAGACCATTAAATTTGGTAATTAAAAGGCTGCTGGTGATTTAGGACAGAACAATGCAATTGAGTGATGAGATCAGGCACCAGATTACAAAGGACTGGAGAGAACTGAAAGTAGCTTGAGGGTGTTATAGAGTCTAATGATAGTTTCTTAATGAAGGAATGAATTTGAATATGTTTGTAGGCATGGAGAAAGAGTCAGGAGATACGGAGAGATTGTAGATAATTAGGGAAGAGTTTTTGGAAGGAGAAAAAGGGAATGAGATCAAAAGAACCTGGAAAGGCATTGGCCTTGGTGAGAAAGCCTATCTCTTCCTTAGAGACTTATAGAGGAGAAAATGGGGGATGACATGAAGGGGTTTTGAGATATGGACAAGGGAAGAAGAGGAAGCTCATGGTGAATGGCCTCTTTTCTCAGTAAAACATGGGACAAAGTCTTCCTCTAAGTTAGGATATGTAGAGAAGGTGGTGTGGGTGGCTCAAAGAGAGAAGAAAAGAATTGGGACAGCTGCTGTGGAAATTGGCCAAGATAATCAGTTGTGAGAAGGGGATTGCAATGAGGGCATATTTGAAATTACAGAACATAACAACTAACCTTATTATTTTTTCCTGAAGAAGTAAACAAATTGGAAAGTTAGGGAAATGCTGCAGGGTTGACCTCAATGTTAGTCAAGCGTTTGACAAAATCTCTCAGGATAGTCTTGTAGAAAAGATAAAAGATGTTAATTACTAAATGGAACAGTTAGGTAGATTCAGAGATGGTTGAATGGCCATACAGTCATTTAGTCACAGTTTGACAGTGACTTGGAAGGAAACTTCCATTGAGATGTCCCAGGATTAATGCTTGGCCCCATGCCATGTAGCATGAAATTTTTTGTCAATGGCTTGGATATGACATTGAAGATGACAAGCTGACAAAATTTCAGATGATACCAAGCCAGAGGAATAGCTAGTCAACTTGATGACGAGATCCAAAGAAATCTTCATGGTCTAGGATGTCTAGATAAAACTAAGAAGATGAAATTCATGAGGGGTAACCATAAAGTCTTAAAAGTTAAAACATGAAAGTTTAAAAAAATCAATTTCACCAGTACAATATGGGATAGAGTTGGTTAGGTATAAATTGGTATCAATCTAACAAATATCTAAAGGTTTTAGTGGACAGCAAACTCAATATCAGTTAGCAATGTAATGAGGCAACCAAATGAATTAATTCAATATTAGTCTAAATTATGAGAGGAATAATATTCAGCATTAAGTAGGTCCTTTTGCACATAATTATGGAGCAATTTGTTGAAGGAGATGGGAGGTAATGAAATCAAGAGAATCTGTAGAAGGGTTGCCCTTGCTGAGAAGAGCTATCTCTTCATCAGAGATGAGATGTATAGAAGAGAAAAAAGGAGATGAGGTCAAGAGATTTTGAGATGTGGACAAAGGGAAAAGAGGGAGCTCATGGAAAATGGCCTCTTTTCTCAGTAAGGTATGGGACAAGGTCCTCAGCTGAGTCAGGATGTGTGAAGGGGTTGGTGTGGGCAATTCAAGAAGAGAAGAAAAGAATTGGGACAACTTCATAGGTAATGCCAAAGACAATCAATTTCCAGAAGGAAAGGAATTACAGTCAGTCGGATTTGAACACAGTGCTTATGTTCTGGGTGCCATATTTTAGGAAAGATATTGAAAAACTGGAGAAGAATGCAAAGGAGAATAATCAGGATAGTTATGGGCCTTGAGATCAGGATTTATTTAAAAGAATGAGTATGGTTAGCTTGGAGAAAATAAAATAAAAGGAAGACATGGTTAATATCTCCAAATACTTGAAGGGCCATTATATGGAAAGTGATCCCAGAGGGAAGAAGTAGGCTCAATGGATAAAAACTAGAGAGGGCCAGATTTATGTTTGATGTAAGAGACCAAACTTCCTACAAAAGAAAGTTGTCCCAGAGTAGACTGGGCTGCCTTGCAAAGTAAAAAAGTTTGCCCTGGAGAACTTCAGGTAAAGGCAACGCAATCATTTTTTTGAGTAACTATGGAGGAAATTTTGTTCAGTTATGGGCTAGGCCAGCCAGCCCCTCTTGGTTCTCTCTGTTGTTGAGATTCTGTGATTCTGAAAGTTTAGAGGAGGGATAGGAAGAGGGGGAGAGCAATTATGTTCAATTTTGATCACTAGAGGACAGAATGGATGGTGCACTAGATCTGGACTCAGGGAGACCTTGCTAGGCCTCAGATATTTACTAGCTGTGTGACCTTGGGCAAGCTATTTAACTTCTGTCTGCCTCAGTTTCCTCATCTGTAAAATGAGGATAATCATAGTACCTCCCTCAGAGTTGTTGTGAGAAGCAAATGAGATATTTGTGAAGTGCTTTGAAAACCTGTAAGCGCTATACAAATGCTAGCTTTCATCATAATCATCTTTGTTCATAGGGCTTTTTCAGTGGACAAATCTGGCACCTGCCCTTGTCCAGGGACTGCTTACCTGCTTAGGGTATCCATTCCAGACTGTCTCTGGCTGACCAAACCAGGTTTTCTGAAAGAAACAAAGGATATGTCCTAGACATTGCTCTCAGAATCACTACTCCCCACAGGTAATGGTTCCTCTCCATAGTTTCAAGCCTTCCTCCAGGGAACTCCAGGCACTCAATAGGAATGATGATATTGCCACCTTACATCATCTCCTATCCTTATCCTGACTTCCCCTTTGTCCTTCCTCCTCAGGTTCAAAACAAGCCAAAATCAAACTTATGAGGTATAACCCCTGGTTAGATAAGAGGCTTGACCCTTATATCCTAACAGGCCATTAGCATCTGGTCCCTTTGTTAGCTCTGGAATAGCTAGGGCTCTATTAAAGAGGTCTGTCAAAGTAAGAAGCTACTACATGATTGGATCATTTAACCAGTCTCTCTCTCTCTCTCTCTCTCTCTCTCTCTCTCTCTCTCTCTCTCTCTCTCTCTCTCTTTCTGTGTGTGTGTGTGTGTGTGTGTGTGTGTGTGTGTGTGTGTGTATGGTTTTACCAGTGTAACATGACAGCCTAAAGAGCTAATTGGACATTGGGCTGCCTTTAGAGGGGTACAGCTTCCAGGAATAAGGAGGAGTAATTGTGCTGTATTCTATTCTCTTCAGACCTCATTTGGAGGATTAGGCACAGTTCTATGCACCATGGTTTAAGAAGGAAATGGGTAAGCTGAGGGGCATCCAAAAGAGGGCAATCAGTACAAGAAGTAGGTGAATTTGTCTAGAATATGGTGTCTAGAATATGGTGGGGGCTTATATGTGACAAGCCTTGAAAGACAGATTAAAGCCAAACTGTGAAGGGCTTTACAGGCCAAAGAGAGCAGTTTATATTTTATCTTAGAGGCAGTAGGATATCGTTGAAATTTCTTGAGGAGAGAAGTGACTTGGCCAGGTCTGTGAGGAGGATGGACTGTTAGAAGGAAGACAGTGAGGGCCACAGAACCAATTAGGAGGCTATTGCATAGTGGGGAGCAGAGGTGATGAGGACCTGAAATAGGGGGGCTCTGGTGGGAGTGGAGAAGAGATGATTTCTAGAGATATTATGGAAATAGAATCAGCAAGACTTGACCATTGATTGAATGCGGAAGTGCTTTGAATTGATATGACATGAGGATCTGCTAGAGAAACTGAGCAAGTTTAGCCTGGAGAAGACTCAAGGGGAACATGACAACTCATGTTGTCATGAGGAAGAGGGATTCTGCTTGACCCCAGAAGGCAGAACCAGGAGTAATAGGTGGAAGTTACAAAGAGGACAATCTTGGCTTGATTTCAGGAAAAAAAACTTCTTAATAATGAGACCTGTCCAAAAGTGGAATGGGCTACTCTGGTATGTGATGTCTTCCTCCTACATGGAGGTCTTCAAGCCAAAGCTGAATGATGGCCATTTGTCAGGTATGTTATAGTGTGGACTTCTTTCCTATATGAATTGGACAAGATGAGTGCTGAGGTCTTTTCCAATTCTCTATTCCTGGGATTCTGTGATCCATTCCTTCCTCCTCCCCTGTCCCACCAAGCCTGGCCTTGCTCCTTCTGAAACCCTCATTTCTGTGATTGAGTGGCACTATTTGTGTTTTGGTACCTATCTGACTCACCTTGTCTGTAGGTCAGACTGGCCAGTCTAGTTACATCACCCCTAGAGAGTGTGACCTTTCCTCCCCCATCCCCAACACCACAGTGACTACAAGATGGGATAGTGTAAGAGGATGTAGAACAATTCAGGGTTGATGTGGGAAAGGCGAATTTGGAGCAAGATAGGGTAGGCTGATAATGAAATAGATGAGAAGAGAAGAAAGACAGTAGGGATAAAATATATATGGAGAGCCTAAAAGGGCAGAGAATGGAGGAGCAGAATCAAGAAGAGGAGAATTAAGGGAATGGGAGTGGAAAGGATTGGGGGACAGAGAAGAGATAGGACAAGGGATGGAGGGGGGGAAAGTGAAGAAGAGAATGAGAGGTGGAGAGGACAAAAATTCACAAAGGGTAAAGGGAGAGAGATGATGACTATGGGGACATGGGAAGGGACATGAAAAAGGGACAAAGTGGGGGCAGCTAGGTGGTGCAGTGGATAGAGCACTGGCCCTGAAGTCAGGACGACCTGAGTTCAAATCCTGCCTCAGACCAAATACTTGACACTTACTAGCTGTGTGACCCTGGGCAAGTCACTTAATCCCGACTGCATGAAAGAAAGAAAGAAAGAAAGAAAGAAAGAAAGAAAGAAAGAAAGAAAGAAAGAAAAAGGGGCAAAGCAAGAAGGGACAAAGTGAACAATGTGGGAACAGAGAACAAAGAGGACAAGGAAAGAAAAAATGAGGGGATAGAAGGAATTGGAGGAAGATGGAAGAGGATGAATGAGCAGAAAAAGGCAGAAGGACAAAGACAATGGGAATGGAGAGGATGAGGAGTCAAATGAGGAGAGATGGTCACATAATAGGTACGGGACAGGACATACTCACATTGTAGAAGATGAGCAAGCCTCCAAAAGAAGAACAGGAGTAAAATAAAAATCTTGAACTGAAAATACAGAACAGGAGTAGAGATGAATGGATAAGGTTGTCTTGCTGGGGATGGAGGGGGTGGGTGGAGAGATGAACTAATTGTGGGGCACCTGCTTTCCAAGTCAGGCCTGATTCCATGGCCTATTGACCTAAATCTAGATGCCTTGAAGTTAGTCTTCCATTGGGTCCCCCCAACTCATCAGGATTCAGAGAATTTCTTGCTCAGTAATGGTGCCTTGGAGCTAGTCTTCCATTGGGTCTCCCCAACTCACCAGGATTCAGAGAATTTCTTGCTCAGTAATGGTGCCTTGGAGCTAGTCTTCCACTGGGTCCCCCCAACTCACCAGGATTCAGAGAATTTCTTGCTCAGTAATGGTCGCTCTTGGTTTCTCCGGTGTCGAAACCAGCGCTCGGCTTGCCTCACAGAGAGGCTGCACTGGCTGGCCAGGTGACTCAGCTCATCCTGGACACCAGAGGAGAAGATTAGGGGTAGGATGGACAAAGGGGGGACCTTAGCTTCCCATGACCGCCCTCTCCCCTAAGCTCACGTAGTATCCCTAATCAGGGAGCGCCCATTCTGCTCCCCAGGGGCCTGGTGGCTTCCAAGAGCATGGCTCGTTCTTGAGCCTAGTCTCCAAGGGCAGGGTCCAAGGGGCTGCCTCCTTCCCTAGGACACCCCTTCCTGTCTCAGACTGGGACACAACTCCCTCAATAAAAGCATTACCTAGGCCACACCCTGGCCCTGCCATAGCCATGATGCCCTTTGGGGAAAAGGAGGTCCGCACTGGGGAAGAGTCTCTGAAACCAACATGTCAGGCACTATGGAGAGATGAAAACTGACCATGTCCCACCTTAACTGAGCTTACATTCTGTTGGGGGAGATAGGATGTGTACATGTAAATAAATACAAAGTAATTTCAGGAGAATGTTAATAATTGGGAAAATCGGGATAAGTTTCTTGAAGGAGGTAGAGGCCTTAAAGGGAGCCGGAGTTTCCACAATGGAGAAGTGAGAGCATTCCTGGGGAAGGAGAACATGGTAGACATAGGAGCCAGCCTGTATGATTGCATGGGTGTGAGGGATGGAATGCCAGATACAAATAACAGTGAGTAGGTGAATTTGCCAAGAGCAGAGTGTGTGGGGTAGTGATGTGGAATAAGTCTCAAAAGGCAGACTGGGGTCCAATTGCAAATGGCTTTACAGGTCAAAAAGAACTGTTTGTATTTAACTTGGAGTCAATAGAGAGACATTCAGAGGAGCAGAGAGGTGGCACGGTCAGACATGACTTATTGGAGGCTGTGTGGAGCAAGGACAGTGAAGGCAATGGAACACATTAGGGGGCATTGCAATAGTGGGGGTGGGGGGCAGAGATGGTGAGGACCTGAATTCAAATGGCTGTGGGAGAAGTGGAGAGAAGGGGATGGCTTCAGGAAATGTTACGGAAACAGAATCAACAAGGCTTGGCGACTGATTGAATATGGAGATGAGGTATTGGGGATGACTCTCAGGGAGAAAACCATGTCTACAGAACATAGAATGGGAAAGCTGGTGTTGACCTTAGAGATCATCCCCTCATTTTACAGGTGAGAAAACTAAGGCTCCAAAAACAAGTCAAGTGACTTGACTAAAGTCGCAAAGCAAGTCAGCAGTGGAGGTGGGATTAGAACCCAGTTCTGGTGAGCTCTTAATCTTCTCTGAGGTTAGAGGTTGGTAGAACTTGATGCTCAGAGTAAGAATCACCCTCTCTAGAAGAAACAGGAACACAGAGAGCAGGTATCTGAGTGAGCCCTAGGTACATAGCACCTCCCATCTCCCCCACTTCTTATTCAAGAGCCACTGAACATCAGAAACTGCCCTGTTGAAGGGTCTGGAGACTTAAACCTCCCAGGATCCTTAATGGCATCCAAACCTGTGGCCTGCTTACCTTTTTGGGATTCTTACTCTGGGTCCAGAAAAATGACTCCAGGATGCGGTTGGGAGTAGCCTTGATCCTGATGGGATCACGTACACCCAGCGCTCTACTTAAGGGCAGCCCTATGATCCTGTGAAAGGAGACAGGAGAAGCTGAGTACACAGGAACTCTCCCATTTATGGCCCTTTGGGAGCTCTCTGACAGATCTTGCCCACCAACTGACCTATCACAGCCCACTTGGCATACCCTGGGGAGATGGAGCATGGGAGGAGGATGTACGAAGAGGAAGGGGTGCCTATGGGGCACATATTGGATGTTTAGCCTGGGGAGAATGAACATCCTATATTTTCCTTATGGAAGGAACTTCTGGGCTGTCAGAATATGGGCAGTAATATCCCTTTCAGTGGATCAGATGAGTTCCTCAGGGTGCTGGGGTTACAACCAAAGAGCAAACCTTCTCCTCCCTTAAGTTCATTAAGTATTTGGTAAACACTTGTTATGCACCAAGCCTAGTTCCCAGTGCTAGGGGGAGAGACAGATTTTAATTAAGACACTATTCTTGTCCTTAAGAAGTTTATGGTCTGGTAGGGGAATAAGGCACCCACATAGATATTCACAATATTATATAGTAAGTGCTTCAAAGCCATGAAAAGGAAAGGGTACCTTCTAAGGTGAAGGCCTTTACCAATTAGGAACAAGGGAGGGTAAGAGGTCAAGGAAGTCTTCCTGGAGAAGGTGTTCCTAGTTCTGGACTTCTGGCCATAGCTTGCCTCTGTGTCTTTTTCAACCCAATCACTGACATAGGGACAACTGGAGGAATTTAGTGTTTAAAAACTAAGGAGCTCTGATCCCAAGAGCTATTTGATAATCATTAAGTAAGCAAACATTGCCTGATTTATACCCAAGCCTTTGAATAGAGGAAAATTGTTACAGATAGAAAACTCACTCTAAGCTAGCATGAGGTTTCTGACATAAGGAACTGAGTCAGGTACCATAAGTTGTGTGAAGAGAAGACATGGTCTGGGCATTCAGTGCCAGGAAGGACCTTGTTGGGTTTTTTCTTCCCTAAAGAATTTGGCCCATAGGGCTGAAAATTGCTGGGGAAATGAAAAGCTTCAGTAGGGAATAAAACAGGAGAGGTTTATTCTGGGCCCAGAACAAGTATTCTGCATTTTCTTAAAGAGCTAGGTGAAAAAAAATCTTGGCAGAATGGTAGCTGAGCAAGCTAGTCAGAAGCTGGAAGTAGTGCAAAGAGACTCTAGCCAATCAGCAGAACACAGTCCTGTGGGGACCAGGGATCAGGGGGCCAAAAGATAAGCATTTGCCAGAGACTAGATCAGCATAGACCAGGCCTATTCAGTAACCTATGAGACCTATGTCAAGGGGAGACAACATCTACAACCCCGCAACACCAAAGATGAGTTGCCCTTCCACACAAATAACCTACATGTGTATCTTACAGATATGTGGTCATTCTTTGCACTGATATGTTGTGTTTTGGGGAGACTAGGCCCCAGATATGTGAGGCTACTTTTCTCACCCTAACATCTTACTAAATGCTTTGGACTTAAACTAGTTATGTCTTCTGGTTGACTATTAAAGGTGATCACGTCAGTAGGGGCTCATGAGGTAAATATGTTAGAGGAATGAAGGTACAGAGTTCCTTGAACCTAGGGCATCTACCCACTGGAGTAACACCCCTCCTCAAGAGTTGAGAGGCTGCCCAAAGGAATTAAATATTCAAATGCTACGAACTCACAAGGTTTAAGAGGAAAACACTTTGTAAACCTACTTCGAATTGTGTGATATGGTGAAAAAAATGTTAAGTTTGGAATTAGAGGACTTAGGTTGGAATCTTTGCTCTGTTACCCATTCTGTGACTCCGGGCAAGACACCTTACCTCTTTGGACCTCAGTTTTCTCTTCTCAAAAATAAGACGGCTGCACTGAAAATAATGCATACTGATAATCCAAGGGAGATCTTGTTAAAATACAAGATGAAGTGGGTATAAACAAAACTAAGCTCACGAGCATATCATAAACTCAAAAGCAGGGCATAGTTAATTAATCGCAAAGAATAAATGGAAGAAAATGAAAACCTAGCAAATATAATCTCAACTATGAAAAAGATCTTTCCATTAAATGCCTTTGATAAGAGTCTTCTATGCAAGATATATAAAAAACTAATGCAGATATAGAAAACCAAAACAGTTTGGCAATAGATAAGTCATCTAAGGATATGACAAACTGTTCAGAAAGAATTACAAACTGTCATTAGCCAAATAAAAGATTACTTCATGTCACTAATAATAAGGAAATGCAGAGCAAAATAACTCAGATATCTTGCTTCATACCCATCAAAATAGCAACATGACAAAAGATGGAAATTGTCAATGCTGGAGGGGTGGTGGGAAGGTAGACATAATACTACAATATTGATGAATCTCTGAATTGGTCCAAAAATTCTAGGAAGAAATTTGGATTAATGCTACAAAAATTGCTAACTGTTGAAACCATTGGACTCAAATATCTCATTGCTGGTATATATAATGGGTGTCAGTGATATAAGGAAAGCTCTCACATATAATAAAATCTTAATAACAACACATTTTGCGGTAGTAAATGAAAACCAAAAAAAATCCTGGAAACATAATAAGTTCCCATTGATTAGGGAGTGGCAAAATAAATTGTGGTGTGTGAATTTAATGGAATATTATTTGCAAAACAAAATGATGAACGTGAGGAACTTAGAGAAACTTGAAAAAACTTGACTGAACTGATGCAGAGTGAAATAAAACCACTAAGAACAGTATGCACAATGACTATAATAATGTAAATGGACTTGAATGCTAATTAATTTAATGATAAATCTTGCCTCCCTTCTCCCTTGAAGGCATGAAGAAGTTAACTGGTCCCTGCTTTCCTTATGGATGTGGGATCCTATGGATACAGGATGTTGCATACATTGTTAGATGTGATTGATGCATTGGTCGAGCTTGATTAACTTTTTTCTTTGTTACAAGTGTAAGTGTATACTAGGTGGGTTGGGGAGAGGGGAAGACATATCCTGAAAGAACTGTAAAAATTCATCAACAAAATTTTAGCTTTTTTAAAAAGGGGTTAAGGGGGAAACCCTCCATAGTTGACTCACCTCTCAACGCCATATCTAATGACTATTAAGACAAATGTCAGGGGAATGGCTGCCAGCAGGTCTTTGGGATGGGGGTATGTGATGCCATCTGAATCTTCCAAATCAGCCCAAGTGTACCGGGGGGGAATCCAGTACTCAGTCTTCCAAAATGACTCATACAGAGTGGCCAGCATCCTGAAGGCAAGACATCAAATATCTCAAGAGGGATCAGCAGGGAAAAGTATGTGTTGATTATTCAAGAAACTAGTCAACAAACTCAGTGCACCCAGATCATCAATTTTAGAGACAGAGAATGTCATAACTATGAGAGACCTTAAGGAAGTCTAACCACTTCATCTTACAGATAGAGAAACTGAAGTGCCAAAATAGGAGGAGACTTATCCAAAGTCACATGGTGAGTCAATGGCAGAGCTGAGCCTAGAACTCAGGTTTTCTGGTTACGTATCCAGGGCTACTTCCACTGCATTTGCCATCCCAAAAGCCTTGGGAGTTGGGGGGTTAGGTGAGAACCCATTGTCTTGGCAGTTCTCATCTAACATGCTGGCTGCTGCCTGAATCCTCCTTGGCATAAGAGACCCAGCTGTCCCAGTCTGTCTAGCACCTGCTTTAAACAGCTTAACTCATGGCAGAACTGCTTCTGACATGACCATGGATTGTCAAGGTGGCAGAGGTTAGGAAAGGCAGCTTCCTAAGGAAGGAAAACAGATCCTAGAACCAAAGAACTGGCAGGGCCCATGGAACCCAGAATGCCAGAGTTAGAAGACCCTCAGTGAATGTCAGAGCTAAGAGGGTCCTTAGAACAAAAAATAGAATGACAGAGGTAGGGGCAGCTATTGATTTCAAGCAAGAAGAATGATCTCCCCATCACTGAAAGTATTCAGGGAGAAAAACTGGGTGATGACTCCTGTTGGTGACAATGTAGGAGAGGGGCAGCTAGTTGGCACAGTGGATAGAGCACCAGCCCTGGAGTCAGGAGGACCTGAGTTCAAATCCGGTCTCAGACACTTGACACTTACTAGCTGTGTGACCCTGGGCAAGCCACTTAACCCTACCGCCTAGCAAAAAAAAAAAAAACCCAACCAGACAATGTAGGAGAGTATTCTTGCTTCAGGTGAGAGTTGTCCTGTCCTGTCCTGTCCCAGGGCCTGTCCAGCTCTATTGCTCGAAGCTTCCTATAGAGCTTCACCAGCTGCCTTCCCCTCCTCCATCTCTGCCAATGACTCCTCTGCAGGCTGCTAGTGAGGAGTGCTTCAGACATAGGCTCTGTGACCTCACCTCCCTGAATTCAGTAAGACCTCAAAGGTGCCTCCTTTCCCTGAATGTCTTTCTGTCCTCAAATGGCAGTGGTTGGTGAGATCAAGGAAGGCTTTTGTGACTGCCCATTGAGAGGCCAGGCCATTATCCCACTTCCAGAGAAAACCTTGACTCTCCTTATCTGAGGATGGTGTCCCTCCCTATATACCATGTCCCTTGTCTACCCTGAGCCAGGAGCATCACTCAGAACAGAATGTAAATTCTTTGCCGGGCCAGAGCTGGGTTTTTTTTCTTTGTTTAGTCCATATGCCACTAACTCCTAGCTCAGTAGCTGGCATCTCATTCTCATTGATTGAGAATCTCAGACTTGAAAGGGGTCCCCAAGACCATCTAGTCTAATTGTGTATGAACAAGCAATCAATGAATAAGAATCCCCCCTCCAGCTGACCCAACAAGGGGCCTATGCCAGGTTTCCCTTTGAAGACCTCCAACGAATGGGAACCTATTACCTCCTGCGGGAGCTCATGCTACTTTTCTATACCTCTTTTTTTAAGAACATTTTCATCATGGAAATAATTCCCAAGATTAGGAAAAATGGAAGTTGTCTGAAGGAAACATTTATTAAGCAACTACTATGTAGGTGTTATTATTATCCCCATTTTACAGTTGAGGAAACTGAGGCAGACAGAAATTAAGTGACTCACCCAGGGTCACACATCAGGTTTCTGAGGATTAATTTGAACTCAGGTCTTCTGGATTCCAGACCCAGGGCTCTATCCACTTTGCCAAGTGGATGCACAGGTAACTCTCTAAGCAGCTCAAATTTTTATCAAGTTATATACAGAAGATAGAAGCAAGATCTGATGGTAGGAGATGAATGACTATAACAGCATGGCAGGATCCTACATAAATAGCCTCATGAGTGATTAAGTTCAAATGAGTGGAGGATAGGGAGGAAAGCTAAGGTCAGTAATATAAGGCTGTTGTTGTTTAAAGCAACATTGAGGAAAAGAGGAAAACCGCAAGAGAGACTGGATCTTTGCTTAGTCTGGTTGAGAACTGCGTGAGTGAAGAGATGGGGGGCAGATTCAAGCTAAATTGTGAGTACAGATTCAATAAGACCTGGCAAGGGATTGGATATGAGTGCTGAGAGAAAGACTGAGCAATTGGTGATAGTGCTAAAGTTTCAAATCTGGGTGACTGGAGGGCAGGGGAGTGTTTTTACTTGTCTTGGTATCCCTGGTGCTGAGCCTTGGCCCACAGTTAAAAGTTTAATAAATGCTTGTTGACTTGACTTATTGGCTGGAATGGTGTCTGTGCCTTCTATAGAAGAAGCAGAGTTATCCTGGGGCTCTGATCTCTTTGGCGAATTCAGAAATCCACTCTCCTAGTATCTCCCATTCCCCTTCCCCCTTGACTTTTGACCTATCTTTGTTTCCCCAGAACTTAGCATGGCCTAGCACAAAATATTTAATACATGCTTGTTTAACATACGCCTATTCACATCTAGGGCATGTGCCAAATATTTCTATCTTTACCCTCTTCATCTCTAATGAACTTGAAGATGAAACTCCTCCTTGTCAACTATAGAGCTCTGCAGCTGCACTTCCCCCATCTCTCCAATCTCCTGGTGTACCATCTGAGATGAAATTGTCCTCAAGCCTAGCGAGGCACATATGCCACTTTCCCAGCTTTGAGGAGAAGATGGTGCCAGTTGCGTAGTATTGATGAAGAAAGCATCCAGCAATCCTATTAACCAATACAATGTGGGCTGCCTAGTGGGGCTAGAATGTTAAGGGTATTCTGCTAATTCCCTGGGACTCTGATCCATTGGGAAATAGAAGCTGGGCACAGCATGAGCAACCTAAGCAGGAATGAATGTCTGAGCACTGATGAACCCATCCCAGAAGAGGAGACATATTCCATCAGTATTTGGTAGCTACGTGGGCAGTCAGGGTGCAAATGCCTATTGTCCATGTTCTCCTGTAATATACAGGCTCCACCTACCTACCTGATATTCACTTCCCTGCAGATCCTAGGGCTTACAGATGGGAAAAGGGTGATGAACTGTTCCACCTTCTCTGGACAGAGGTAATTTTCAGAGGTCTGGCTTGCAACGAATGGGAAGAAGCCAGACTATATCACTCTTTTCTAACCTAGAAACCTTTGTGGGCCAGCCCTGAAGTCAGATACCCCAGTTCCAGGCCCTCCAGAGGCTGCCAGGGAACCTCCATCCACAGCTGGTTTTTCCCCTGTCCCTTCTTATAAGAGAATCTCATGGATTTTGATGGCTCAGAATGAGTGTAAATAGCAATTGTTTCCATTCTAGCCAGAAACTCTGAGGGTCTTCCCCTCCCAGATATATTCTTTTGGGAAGACAAACTAAGCCATCTTTTGCTTCAGTTCTTACTTAGCCTTTAATAACTGAATGGGTATTGCCTCAGACAAACTGAAACCTAGGAAAGACTTCAGCTTAAAAAAGCCAAGGTCTCCCACTGTATCTGGGGCCATCGCCAGTCATCCTGACCTATGTCTTGCCACTGGACTCCAATGACTCTGGAGGAGAGAGTGAGGCTGATGACTGCACAGCTCTGCTTCACTTAAATCCAATTCACTTGCAGGTTAAGACATCACCTTCCTGATGTCACTGGTCCTCTTTGAGAATGAAGGACGAACAACAATCTCAAGAGCTCCATGAGGAGCTGAGAAAGGAAAGGAAGGGTTGGATGACTCAGCAGGAAAACATGGGGGAAGGAAGCCTAGTAAGGTCTGAATTGGAACCCACTGACCAGCTACCAAACAATGACAGACTAAAAGAAGGTCAGAGTTGAGAGGGCCCTTAGAACACAGGATGTCAGAGCTGGGAGGGCCCCAAGAATGCAGAAGGGCAGAGCTGAAAGAGGACCTTTTTTAGACTAGTCCAGGCCTTTTGTTTTACAAATGGGAAAATTGAATCTTAGAGAGAGAAAGGAAAACCTGGGAGGACTTTTTTTCATTAGCAAGTGCTTTATTCTGATCGCTGTCACTGACTTCATGGTTCAATGAGCTAATAATGATGTATGAATTTCTACATCTTGAAGTGAAAGTAAATGACAGATCAAGCTTATTATTGTCATTACTTCTTGTTGTTATTTTTTACTCATTCAATAAGAAAGCATTTTATAAATATTAACTCATTTTATCCTTACAAGAATCCTGGAAGGTAGGTGCTATCACAATGTCTATTTTACAGAGGAGGAAACTGAGGCAGAGAGTGACTTGCTCAGAATCATACGCCTAGTACGTGCTTGAGGCAAATCTGAATTCAGGTCTTCCTGACTCTGGGCCGAGTGCTTTATCCACTGCACTATCAAGCTGTTATCAGCTAGTAATGATCATTCTTTGTATCTAGCAAGGCCACCGATTCTGAATTCACCTAACAGTACTCTCTACTCCACAGATCTCCATCTTTTCCACTGGCATCCTTGACTAAGATACTCCATGTCCCAACTGTGAGCAAAAGCACTGGCTATCCCCCATGCCTGGAATGCTCTCTCTCCTCGTCTCTGCCTCCTGGATTCCCTGGCTTCCTTCAAGTTCCAGTTAAAATACAACCTCCCATAAGAAATCTTTCCTAATACCCATTCATAGTAGAGCCTTCCTTCTGCAATTACCTATCCTGTCTATACCATTCATACATAGTTGTTTGTATATTGTTTCCCCACTAGACCATGAATTCTTTTAAAGAAGGCACTTTTTTTTGAACTTTCTTTTTATTCTCAGGATTACCACAGTGCCTGGCACATAGTAGCCTCTTGATAAATTTTTGTTGACTTGACTTGAAAGACTTTATCAAGTGGTTTACTAAAAATCTCGGTAAAATATCTCTATAATAGCTGAGGAATGCTATTAAAAAATGGAAGGAAGGAAACAATCATTTA